ATTTTATAGCATTTTATAAGTATTAAACTAATTTGATGTAATAGCCTCTCATTAATTGGATATGGAAGCTTAATCAAACTAGGAAGGGATTTTTCTTCAGGATAGAAGTCTCATGTTATTGTTCTCTGCCATGTGTGAAAGGTCTAATTCATCCTGTGAAGCCCCTGCAGTCTTTGCCTGACTCAGTTCCCTCTCTTTTATCTGAATAATATTCACTGGATGGGGAAATTCTCTCTTTGACATGGATGCATTTATTCTGCAGTGAACAGAAGTTAAGAGACCTCTTTCTGGAATATTGGATTAAGAAATTATAAGATCTAGGTTAAACTGTGACTCTCGAAAGGTTAAGGGATCCCACCCACATGATTCTAGGATAGGATTCCTACTGCTCCTCCAAACCTCCTGCCTGCCACCAGGGCAATGATGTTGCCACTCAGAGTTCCTCTGATGTTGTTCTAAAGCTTTACCTGAATGGCCACTTCAGGTGTTTTCACCTGAGGGAAAAATAAGCTTGACATCCTAGTGTGTGGATTTGAGAACTTTCATGAGAAAATGGAGTTATAATAGTCACTTCCGAGTGATCTTTTTTGGGCAGTAAGGGTTCCAAAATGCAAAATATAGAAATTATTGTTTTGAAGTATTTTCTTTCAATTCAAGAGAATGAAATAAATCTGAAATGAGGGTATTAAAAATGGTCATCAAACTTGGGTTTCCTAATGAACAATTTCTAAGTTATTGAAGTAACTGCTTTCTAATTACCTTGAAGCAGAGGTAGCACCTTTTAGAGTTGCATGAGCAGTACTAATATTCTTTCAAGCTTTTGTAAATGAAAGTGGTTTTATTTAAAATTTATCACAGTAAGTTTATGTGAGTCTGTTATCCTAATCAATATTTCAAAATAAGATTGTACTTTAGCCAGGGGATGTGGCTCAGTGGTTGAGCATTGATCTATGAACTAGGAGGTCATGGTTCGATTCCTGGTCAGGATACATGCCCAGGTTGTAGGCTTAATCCCCAGTAGGGGATCTGCAGGAGGCAGCCAATCAATGATTCTCTCTCATTGATGTTTCTACTTCTCTCTCCCTCTCCCTTCCTCTCTGAAATAAAGAAAGATATATTAAAAAATTAAAAGTACAAATGTTGTGTGCCTATCTATCTGTGCATGTGGGAATGGAAAAACAGTATTTGTCCCAGCTGAAAAGGGATGCCACAGATTTACCATCCATAAAAGAAAGAAGTATCATGTAGTGCATCTAATTGTCTCAGTCAGAAATTAAGACTTTGTAGATTTAGGAAGAGTGTTAGCACTTTCTGGCAACCATACTTGTGATAACAGCCCAGCAGAGAATGGTTAATATTGCTCTTTAATGGCCTAATGTAACAGTCCATCCTCCAGTGATATGTCATCTCATTATCTTGTTCCATTGTGGTTTACTTGCCTCACAAAACTTTCAGCTTGTTCTGAACACTTTTCGGTCAAGCATCAGCTACTGGCTGATTGTTTCCCACCATACTGTTCTGATTACCACTTTTTATTTTTTATTTTTTTAAATGTCTTTATTGGTTAAGGTATTACAAATGTGTCCTCATCCCCCCATTACCACTTTTTAAAGCCGGCTCCCCTTGATTTTCCTTTTACTTTACCCTGGTGCCTTAGCTGTCTTGAGGGCATTACATTGAGCTGTTGACATTCAGTAAATCAGCCCCTGGGAGCATTGGGCATTCTCCATCTTTGCATGTATGTTTGTTCCAAATGTCAATATTTCTGTGATTTAACTATTTCCCTTGGCATGGCTCTTGATTATACTCAATTCCAGTTTTTATTTACAGTAACAGTTTGGTGATTTGTTTGCTAAAAAGGTCCTTTTCAGGAATTTTATTTTTAAAATTCAACTAAGTTTTATTTTGTGAGTTTTCATCATAATTTATAAATTATTCATTTAAAAAGTATTTTAGATGGAAAAATAACTTTCATAGTTGATTATTAGTAATATTCACTGCTTATAAATTACAGTAGACTAGAAAAATATCCACTAATGAATGAAAATACTTGTTTTCCTCAGTGAATTACTCAGAAGCAACATGGAAAATTCTGGATATTTCTTTTGGTGATTTGTCATGAGGAAGACATTACCACCTAATGCCTTCACTCACAGTGTGTTTCTGAGACCAGCTTCACTTTGGGCTCTTTTCTTCTCTCCTGTATGCTCAGCACCCTGCAGGAAACTCTCACTGCCACGCCCACAGACACCTCCCCTCTTTAGATGACTCTTTTAGGATTCTAGCTGGCACTGGCCAGGTACCTCAGTTGGTTAAAGTTTCGTCTCATAAGCCAAGGTTGCAGGTTCGATCTCCAGCTAGGGCACATACAAGAATCAATCAATGAATGCATAAATAACTGAAAAAAAACTAATCGATGTTTCTCTCTTTCTCTCTCTCTCTCTCCCTCCCTTCCTCTCTCTCTAAAATCAATACATAAAATAAAAAGAAAATATTCCAGTTGCTAGACTGTTTCTGACAGGTATTCCACTGTGTCTGCTAGTGCAGTTTGTTACGTCACACTGCGTGTAGGCAGTCCTAAAATCTTGGGTAAGATTTATAAGGATTGCATTGTGTAATCCATGTTTTAGGGAGAGTTACCAAATTTGTCATGTTGTATGCATCGTTTTTCTGGGAAGCCTCTCTACTAACCCGCTTCCATCCCTCTTTTTCATGTTTCCCACCCTACAGACAACCATAAACACATTCACATGCATGCACACCTGAAATTCATTTCACATGTTAGGGCAATCTGAGTTTTCTGTTGCTGTATACTTTCCAATGCTCATTTGGAAAGTATACAGCAACTTTTTCATTTCACCATCATTTACTATTTATTCAGGTCCGACCCTCTCTGGTTTGATCCTGGGCAACCTGCAGCGACGCACAGCTGTACAGCAACTTTTTCATTTCACCATCATTTACTATTTATTCTCACTATCACTAATATAAAATGTATAACACAATGTATGTTTGTATATAATAACATAAATATATGTACACATTATGCTAAAATCATTTGTTCAGTGTAATGACACAAATGCCACATTTTAAAAACAGACAGGAAAATTCTCAGTTGTAGGACAAGCAAAAAATTTCAGCAACAATGCTAAAATACATTCTTTTGAAGAAATTCTTTCTGATTTTGGAGAATCCTACATTTGAGTTTTTACCAAAACATACAAGAGATGTAATGTATTCCAAGGTTTTATAAATGTTTACATTTCCGAGTTTGCAGTAGTTTTAAATTTCAGAAAGGTCAGAAGCTTAAAACATCGAGAGGGCAGGTGAGAGTGAGCATGTGTTGCAATTTCACCTATTACATGGATCCGGCAAGATCCATATTTGCGTGTAAGTGGAGAGCCTTGCCTTTGTAGGTCTTCCAAGTTGAGAGCCAATGTTAGGGCTGTCTGTTCCCCTCCAGAACCTTTGCTGACCTGGTTTCTGGACAGGCATCAGTTAGCAGTCTGGTCCTGCTGGTTGGAGGTCTGCATCTGGAAGCAGAGGTTCACCTTGTTGTAGCCGAGGAGTGGATGGGAGGTTTAGAAAGTCCAGTCTCTTGAAGAGTGCTCTAGTGTCATCGTTGATCTGAGCAAGCCTACTTCTTTTTTTCTTAAACTTCCAGACTAAAAGGCAGAATGACCGGGTGGAAAAGCATGAACTTCAGAATCAGATTTGGTTTAAATTTTGCCTCCCCAACTATAGACTGTGTGATTTTTCACTTATTTCTGTGAGTCTCAGTTTCTTCATTTGTAAAATGCAGGGAAGTTTATAAGTAGTAAATGGAATAACAAATCCCAAGTGTCTGGAATTTGGTTAAGAATTAGTGAATATTATTCTCTTTCTCTCTCTCTCCACCACTAAAGAGTACAGGAGTGGAGTGAGTAACCTCCACAGCAGCCTGGTTTAGCTCCCCTTCATGGTTTGATTACACAAAACCTGGCCAACCACATTTTCAGACAATGCTTTTGAAAATCATCTGTTCTATCCCCAGTAAGAGAACAAATCATCAAAGAAATTCTAAGCTCAGAGAGGGGCTAAGAGAGAGCAAGTCTTCTCTGGGAATTGTATTAGCACCATGCTTTCCTGAATAATACTCAGTGGCATTTTGCTGATGCAATGAGATTGTACATTATTAATGTATTTTTTAAGATTCCTTAACTCAGTGTGAACTTTTTCTTTCATTTCATCTTACACAAAACCCAACTGGAGAGTTTAAGAAGGTGATGTGTAATCAATACTTTTATTCACAGGTGATTTTTCTCTTAGTGACAAGCATATACAATTAATGCTGCTTTGAAGTTTTTATCAGCTTAAACAAGAAAGTGACATTCCAAATGAATTAGATTGGCCAGAGGTTACATAATCTATTGACTATTTGAGGAGTTATGATGCACTTAATTGAGCCAAACCCTTTCCTCCTGTCCTTTCAAAATGCCCTTAGGTTGGATTATGCACAATAAGAGAGAAATATTTATTTTTAAAATTGATTAAAACATTATTAAACAATGAGAAATCCAAAGCCTTGGTGAGTTCTAAAACTAAGATATCTGCCTCTTTTTTCCTTCACTCTGTGCCATCTTGGAATATGTAGCTCACAGTAATAGTCTGTGCGAGTACACCCTCTTTTTCACTAACCATTCATTATGATCATGTGAGGTAGATTTCCCTTTGCCTTCTCCTTCTGCAATTTGATTCTAGAGCATACTAAAACACTTGAGTCATTTTGGAGTTACATGTAATAGACCATAATATCAAGATCTTAGATGATAACATAGAGTAAAAATGTAAACTATAATATGATTTTAAAACCACAAAGTAAAGTTTTGCCAGTAGTTAGGTATTGATTGTTATCTTCAGAAATATTTTGAAAAAAATTTCAGAACTAGTTTGAGTTTTAAGTGAACAATTCACTGAAGAAAACCCATTTGTAACTCTTTCTTTTTCTTTTTCAATTTCAGGGTCAGCCTGGTCCTCAGGTAAGTGAACTCTTTTCTAACAAATTAATTCCAATTTAGGAATTTTCCAGTATAGAGGTTTTTCTGCCATTCTTTTTCAATGGATATAAAAAGCTGTGAGCCAGTAATCATGACAACACACAGTAGACCAAATATTTCCCAGGAGTAGAGCTTCAGCGGGGCCTCTTCAGGGCTGTATGAGCCACGTCAGCTGTTGGGCCAGATGGCAAGTTAACAATGTACTATCATCTAAAGCAAAACTCTTAACTGATCTGAAACAGAGCCACAGGACTTTAATGTAAGACAGAAAGACTTACTAGATGTTGGCTATAAACTGGCTCACATTAGGTACTGATTAATCATGTACTAATAATGTTATTGTAAATCCACAGACTCTGATCATGTAGACTCTCATCCTACCAGCTTCATTTGATTCATTATAGACAGATATTGAATTCATTCCCCACTTTCAATATAAACCAACTGCTGAAGACATGATTTATAATTAAATGTGAATACAGTCAACATAAAATTTTTTGAGCCCTAAATCATTGAAGAAAATGAGGAAATTTTAGAAGAGAGTAATGTGTATAAAGATGAAAGTACAAAAGGAGGGAGTTTCAGAAATGAGTCAGTACCAAACAACAAATTTAATATACTACTTACTGTAGTCTGTAGGAAGCTATAGAGAAGGAACTGACATTATTAATGTTTCACCCTTAACCCTGTAATACCTGTAAATAACATAATTATTTCTTGAGTTTCCTTTATGTTTCTTTCCCCTCGACATACCAAATGCTATTTCTGTCCTAGATTGTTTGATAAATAAATGACTTTCATAATATCTTTGTTAGTCAATATCATAAATTGTCATTATGTACTAATTTTCATATTAGACCAAGAGAATATTATTTATAATTTTTATGAGCTCTGTATATTAATGATGTCTGACAAACAAAAACCCCCACATACTTCAATAGAGCAGTCCTCTTCACACTACACTCATGAGAAAAAGTTTGACATGTAATTAATTTATATTCATTGAAAAAATGCATTATTTGAGATTTTTCACTAAAATTTTTAGTTGATTCAAGGTAATTATTGGAGGGAAAAAAATTCATCAAAGCAAGTTGTAGCTTATTCCCTAAGTTTGCAACTGCTACATTATACTGGGATGAAGACAAAGTAAAAGGTGTTTTGCCTGTTTTATTTTATTTGATTATCAAATAAAATCAAACAGCCTTGGGAATTATTGCACATACAAAATAGAAGAGATAAATGACTCACCTGGGATGATACCATAAAACAGGGAGCAGGAGTCAAGTGTGTCTCTAAAACCCTCATACCCCTGCATATCTCTAGGGAAGAAATGAGATAATAGACAATGAAAGAAATTGGAGTGTTAATCAAAGACATTTGAGGGAGGATGATAATGTTTAACATATTTTGAGTTTTAATGGAACTTCTGTCTTAGCCTGTATCACCTCTCACTATCCCAGAGCAGTTCTTAAGATAAGGATTTGAGCATAAATAGTTTATCTGGGAGATGATCCCAGGAAGCATTGTGAGGAAGTGGGAAAATAACACAGGGAGGGCATGAAAACCAAGAAACAGATGCATCAATGAACAGGTTACTGCTGTGGACTGGGGCTCAGTCCTGCTGAAGAACTTAGGAGAGACTGTGTAGAGCTTGCCTCAGACTCGTCCCACCAAGGCGCACAGAAATTGATGTATCTATCCACTAATTTACCTTTCTTCATTGTTGAGAGTTGTGCCTGGTGTTAACTCTCTGTCACTTCTGACCTGCCCCCAGAAGGTCTAGCATAATCCAGCTGCTAGAGGAATGCAGGAAGCCATAGGGACATATGGGACCTGTATTCCACCACTGTCTTGGAGGGAGGCAGTGATGTGGGTTGACACCTACATCTGCTAAGCAAGTGTCCTATTGACAAAACAAAGAGTGAGAAATTTAGATATCGATGTAACGATTTGGAAATTAGACAAAAATACAGCATTAAAAGCATATTAGTTAATGAGATGTTAAAAGGAATAACTGTAAAAAGAACAAGATCATAATAAATCTTGAGTGTACCGCTACAATTAACGAGCAGAAGAGAGATGGTGAACTAGCAGCACAGGAAGCCCAGGATAGACAGAACTAGGAACATTCTGGGTCCCTGTAGCTGAGACTTAAAAGTATATTATGGGCCCTGGCTGAGTGGCTGAGTTGGTTGAAGCATCAACCTGTGCACCAAAAGACTATGGGTTCAATCCCTGGTTGGGGTACATATGGAGGGTAATGGATCAATGTCTCTCTTTCCCTTCCTCTCTCTCTAAAAATCAATAAAAACTTATCCTCAGGTGAGGGGATTTTGTTTTTGTTTTTTTAAAAAAGTTCTATCTCCTCCATGAAATTGAACATAAACAAAAATTTTTAAAAAGAGTATATTATGGTATTTCAGAATACCTTTACGTCAGGTCTTAAATATACTTCAGAAAAATAAACTTTGTATAGCTGCCTCCACTTGAAAATTTTAGAAACTTTTGAGGGAAAATATGACTGGCATTCTCAAATGGTAACCTGCACTGATTTTCCTTAATTTTGGCTACCAGTTTATGTATTATTTTTCTAACCCCTAATCTACTCTCGGGATTTTTTTTAAAACAAAAAGTGGATGTTAAATATAAAGTAGGCTTTTAACAAATTTTATCTAACTAAAAATATAAAGACTTAGAAATGGCTTATATAGTAAATGCAATTATCAATATATATAGCAGTTATAGTATTTTATAAGTTATACAATACCACCTTATCATGAATCTACTTTTTCTTTGAGTAAATGTTTGTAAACTATACATTAAATTTGTTTCATCCAGATTTATAATGAAAAAGCAAACAATGTACATTTAAAACCTGAATTAGGAAATTATAATGGGCTCTTAAATGCTTGAAAGCTTTCTCTTATTTGATCAAATTTCTCTTAAATTGTCCATGTTTTGTTATTTGGGTCACTAGAAATGATTTTAGTCATATACAGTGTACATAATAACTGGGTATGTCTTCCTTTTTTAAAAAAAAATCATCTCTTTGATGACTTAAAAGGATATCCACTTTTTTCTTAAATTTTTATCTTTTTCAGTTTTTCTGATTTTATAAGATTTATCAGCTAAAACTCTTCATAACTTATTTTTTGTTATTTATAAATATAAGATTCAAAATTACAAATTTACCTGCATTTCTTCCCTGCTGATCCTGTTCCTCCCTCATCCCTATGTCTTCTTAGCACATTTTTTTAACTGTGGGGAAAGGGAAGTGCACAAACATTGCAAAACTTTCTCTTTACCTTCTCCCCCTATCTCCTTTTGTAACTAGTTAAGGGAGGATAAGGAAGAAGAAAGTTTGTCATCTAAACAAGCTTTCTCCAAGTAAGTTTCCTTAACTAGTCCTCAAAACCTTCTTCCTGAGTCATATCCGTGTCACCCAGGGAAGACCCTCCCTGTGACTGGTTAGTATTGTGAGAGAAAGCTTCTAAAATCCCAAATTCCAACTCTCAATGGATTTTTCCATTAGGAGAATTACCAGTATTGTTTCTATTGTACAACAAGAATTTTTTTTAAAGTATATTTTATTGATTTTTTACAGAGAGGAAGGGAAAGGGATAGAGAGTTAGAAACATCGATCAGCTGCCTCCTGCACACTCCCTACTGGGTATGTGCCCGCAACCAAGGTACATGCCCTTGACCGGAATCGAACCTGGGACCCTTGAGTCCGCAGGCCAACGCTCTATCCACTGAGCCAAACTGGTTATGCAAGAATTTTTTTAGGTACTTTAGGAATAGGCTTTTGTGAATTGGGCTGGGAAAATAAACTATATTTGTATTATGATTCCTCTGGGAATCATAATTTATCTGGGAAGATAAAATCAGATTTATAAACAGCTAACTTCCAAAAAAAAGAGTTGTAAATGTTTGAGTTGGGAAATTGCACATCCTTTCAAGTTTATAAAAGATTTGGGCAGAATTATAATTGGCAACTTGTTGTTCATGTACAAATGTTTATGTCTGTGAGAGTTTTCTTGCAGAGGGTAAATATTCCCATGTCATCTTTTTCACAGTATTATTATACAGTGCAAAACTCTTCCTTAGAGAGTATAAAACTCAATTTTGCTTCTTTAATATTGCATTTCTTTAGTAAGAACTCCAGATTAATAAGGTTTCATTTTGCAGACCAATAGCAAAAGGAGCACATCTGTTATATCAGCAGAAGGGAGTTCTTTCCATCATCTTTCTAAAGTTAAAGATGGTTACGTGGATTTAAACTTGATTTTTAAACAACTGTGAAGACAGGAAAGCTAAATGGAAGTAACCCTGTTGCAGTGATAGCATGAAAATAAATACAAAAATAGGCCTTGGGGAAGGGAGGTGAGTCTTTGCATTTACCAAAATGGGTGAGAAAATGGTGCTTGACAAGGGAAATAAGATGGGGAAAGGGTATTAGAAAGAAAAAGGGTAATTCTAGCAGCTGTGGTTAAGATGGAAAAGAGGCAAGAAAATGAATGAAGAGGATGTTGCTGTGAATCCACTGAAACAAAGGAACTCAAATTCTTAGAGAGAAAAAGGGGTGAGGTAGAGTAAATAATGTCCCAAAGACTTAAAAAAAATGGTTTGCGTTAAAAGAAAAGACAGTGACAACAGAGTGTAAGTAAGGGAAGAAAGAAGGAAAGGAAACTAGAAAAAAGACATGAGCATTTCTATTTTGAACTAATGGCACTAATTATTTGGGGGTGGGGCAATATTAATCTATTGTCATAAAAGTCACCCTGATATATCTTCATTAATTCATATTAACATAATTCAATTCGATTACTCAAGTATTTATTTAGCTGGTACTATGTTCAAGGCACAGTGGCAAGGCTGTGAAATTGTGGTGCTCAAGACAGACTCAACCTCTATTTTTTTTGTAGTTCTTTTAATATTATTAATCAAGAAGGATATGGAGTCCTGTCAATTCTCATAGACCC